CAATATATATATATTAATAGTTTAAGCACCTCTAATTAAAAGTTTCATAAACTAGAAATCACAAAGGTTTAGAATCTTAAATCAGTATTCAGAATACATTAAAATAAAGGCTTCCGCAGCTTCACTCCTTGTAAACACAAAATCACAAAATGCACTTACAATTTCAACAATTTTGGCATGTTGGCATAAGATTCTGGTATGCTACTTCCATCGAAGTTATTGTTATCGAGTTGACTGCAATAACAAGAAGATCTAAAATGTTACTTCAAATATTTATTTATTTGTAAGACGTATTTATTGATTCAAGTTCAGCTAACATTATAGAAACAAAAACTTCAAAAAAAACAGAGGGTCTAACAGTACAATGACAGAAATGTTAACTTTCCAACATAATGTTCTTAGGTTTTTAATATTCAACTTTAGAATTTCACTTCTTGCATTTCCAATTTGTAATGATAGGTTGGCATCACTTCACAGTGTATGAGCATGCTACTCCATCTCATTTATTTAACAAAGACTCAGTAAAACAGTTCTTCCTGAGTTATAATGCACAGTTCTGTGAAATAACCAAAGGCTAAACAGTTTGAAGATGGCAGGGGAGTATCATAGCATATATTTGTTGAAATTTTTCCAAATGCAAGCATATCTAAAGAAAAATTTAAAAATAAAATGAGTTTGAATGGTACATATTAGAAATTTGGGTTTAAGTACTATAACACAAGGGTTACATTATCATTCAAACTCATTTTAAGCCCTCACATATTTGCTTTTGGTACCACTCAAAAAGACCTCTTACCAAAGGAGGTATCTTATGTGTATATAAATCCATGGTCATCTCTTATTTTATCCAATGTGGGACTTTGTTTGTACCCAACATTCCATTCACATCTTACCATGTAAAATTGAAATAAAAAGCTTAACTCGGTCAAAATCAGACATTTTGTCACAAAGAATAAAAGTATCTAACAAGAGAATAAAAACCAGAGGAAGAGAAGCAAGATGTGCCTGAACATACATAAAGAATATGCACTCTATTCATCCAAAACAAACTCATAACCAAATGAACTCAAAGACATGCACACAAGCCTGTCCAAAACAATAATATATCATACAGTATCGTCAAGCTTGGCATCTCAGAGAGCTCGGATGGGAGATTTCCTGTCAATTTATTGTTGTCAAGAAGACTGCATGTCCAAAAGATACATCTTGTTAATATGAACGTCAAAAAGAAGGATTAAATAAAAGCCAGAGAAAAATGTCAGTGGCTATCATGTCACCAATAACTTACAGGTGAATGAGGCTTCCTAATTTTGAAAGCTGTAATGGGATTTGTCCACTAAGTGAATTGTTGTTCATGTGGCTGCTCCATTGGGAAAAGAAGAAGGCATTATTTCCTTTCAGTTTTCTTGCTAAGAAAGTAGCAAGAGTGATAGTTTTTAAAACTTTAGTAATAAGTAAAGAATGTTACAAGTGTTGTGTGCTGTTCAGGTTTGCAAATGATAGTGGTATGGGTCCTGTAATATTGTTCTCATCAATTTGCATTCTCTCCAGCACTGGAAGATGGCCAAGCTCTTCAGGCAGATTATTTGTTAGTTTATTTCCACTCAGGAGTCTGCAAAAACTTTATTTGATAAGAAAGGAAAGAAATATTCTAACTCTGTGTCAAAATACCAGCCATTTACTTATGAAACCAATTGAATTCAATTTCAGTTCTATAGAAACAGGTGTTTGACTTCAAATTCCTATGAAACACCACTCTCATTTTATTCAAAGATGTGTTTCGTCATGCACTAATATGTATTGATAACTAGGAAATCAAATCAAGACTGCTAAATTATTGAACCATGGTCCTGCATGCTGGCCAAGATAGATGACTGCACTTACAAGAGTTTCAGAGTTTTGATATTGCCAATCTCCTTTGGTATACTCCCAGTTATGTCATTCCACATAAAGTCCCTTTCAAGAATGAAAATTCAAACCATTACTAGAGGAAGTAATTGCAAGCTGCTACAGAATGGAAATATTCAAATGAATCTATATATTTTACAAAAGTTGAAGCTAGAAATTTCAAAATTGAAGATATGTGATTGGTTTGCATTAGAAACATCAATGCAGCTACTGACTTACACTATTTCCAAATAAGACAAGTTGCCGATCTCTGGTGCCAAAGTTCCAGACAGGTTCAAATTCAGCAGTTGCCTACACAAAAAAATAAACAGTCCTCAAACGCATGTGTCAATAGTAGTAGCAAAAGTTGTTCCAAGTGATTTGTCAAAAGTTAATCAAGAAAATATAATCTGAATTCTGAAGCTTACATGTGTATACTACTTGACACTGTACTATTATGCAGAGCATTAAATTATTAGTATTGCTTCTAGAAGTAAAAGATAAGTAATGAAAAGATAGAAAGGTAGTTAAACAGAAATTTTTCTTTGGCTTCAAGATATATGAATTTGTCAAAATACAGAAAATATCATCGTACAGCATTGTGAACTTACAGCCAATACCCATTGTTGTGGTAAGTTCAAATTTTTTAATCTAAACAGTTTCTGATTAATAAAGTTTGGACTCAACAACTATTGTGACTCTATACGAAACTGAGCAGATCAAAAGGGAGAAAAGTTAATAAAACAAGGAAGGTTATACATATGTTGACATGGCTATTACAAAAACAAAGGTTTAGTGGAAGATCAAAGTCATACAATTGTAGAACATGTAGATTGCCATCGGCTAATGTTGTATTGGAGCACATAACCCCTGTCCAGTTCGATGTACATGGATCTCCACGATCCCAGTTGCTCAAATTTACATTAATATCAATCAAACTTCTCTTTATGGTTCTCAATGCCTCAACTGCATGTTAAAGTAAATGAAACAATCATACTATCAAGAGAGGCAAATGAAAACAAACATGACATTATAAACATATTATTTTTTTAAATATGTGAAAAGAAACTATAGCAGCACCGTTTATGTTTTTTGCAGAAAACAATAAATGAATATTTCTATTGATTCTAAATATTACTTCCTCGATCTCATTTTGTCAATTAAGATAATCCACAAAATCATAAGAAACTTTTACTTATACCCATTTCTGTGATAACATAATATTATTTGACTAAAACACCCATATTTACATAAAGGATCAATTGCTCTTAACAGTTGCAACTGTCATCTACTAGCTCATTTCTAGAGGGCATAATTGGGAAAAATTTATCATTATTTTCCTTATATTCTAAGTGGAAAATAATTTGAGAGAAATATTCCAAGCACAACAAATAAAATGAGATGGAGGGATTATCATTTTACAATACACAGATAAAATATTTCCATTTTCTGATAATGGATTCATGGATAATATTTTACATTATAACAAAGAATATATTGATAAAAACCCATTTGATCCACACAGAGGGGGAAAGATTTGGTGATATATGCAATTGGATTTAACAGAAAGTTCTTCCGGACAGAACAACTGATTCCTACTACCACTTTCAGAATCATAAATGCAAACAAAAGACAAAAGGGAAGGAATATACCTTCTGTGGGGTCAGTGACCTGACTAGCAGCCAATAGAAAATAGCAGGAAAACCACAAAAAGAGAACAACTTCACACCTGCAACCCTTTGAAAGATACATCCCAGAAACCCAGAAAACACAAAGCCTCTAGATTGTCCCTCCTGAACTGAACAGGATTTTGCTTTTCTTTCCCTACCAGCAACAACACCAGTCAGAAACATTCATTTGCGTGCACTTAAAACCCACCACCCCATATATTCTTCTAAATCCAAAACACAGATAGCTATCAAATCAAAGTAGAATACCCTTTGCAAAAGCAACTTCATTATCCAAGTAAAAAAAATCCCAGAAAGCTAGAAAACCTTATAAGAATACCCTTTTCACTGAAAGCTTAGAACAAGAAAATAATGAACCCCACTTGCGGGAACAACAGAGTAGAACCTATCCCAGAAAAGGATTGTATATATAATTAACCTGCAAGCAAATATTATATGAGAGAAGCAACACGTAAACTACAACTTTATATGTCATTATAACAAAGAAGATTAACATTGAAAACTGAGTACACAGGTGAATGCAAACTTCTGACCACGTCTCCAATGCAACGTGGAATTGCAGGTGTAGTTTAGGAGTGGTGACGAAGGCCATCACTTTCGTTACTGTAGCTAATTTAATTTTCAACGTAGGTGCATACGTAAATATCAACTAAAGTAATTAAAAAGAGGGAGAGAACTTTTCATAGTGGAGTTGGCCATTCTTAACTTGTGGAACCAAACACAAGAGATTCATGTTATATAATTAATCACATTTATTTATGTAGCTGGTGGTGTTGACTTTCTGGAATAAAATATAAGAGCGGGTTAATTATATGGAATTGGTCCTTTCTCTTAGGGTATTATTTTCAAGAGGTGTTGTATGAAGTTACCTAGATATTTTTATCCTTTGACGGCTGAATTGGACAACAAAGAGACAACTACTTACATGTGTGCTTGAATGTTCCAATTTCAAAGATCAAAGGAAAAATTAAAAAATTTAAAGAAAAAAAAACAACTCCTTTACGAATAATAACATTTTTTTATGTATATGAAAATAAAAGTTAGTATAACTAATATTTGAAACATGTTATAGTAAATAAAATTTATAAATACATAAAAAATGACATGTAGCATTGATTTAAAAATAGTGAGATTTGATTATTTTAATATTAAAAGGTTAATAGTATTATGAATGAGTTTTATTATTTTAAAATATATTATCTCTCTACAAACTATTTTTTTAAGTTACTTGACTTTTCTCTAAAAGTTCTCACTTTTTGTTTATTTGTTTTGAGAATCAGAAACCACTTAAGAAATTCTTGAAGCAAGATCTTTAAGTTCATCGGGTCAGTTTCTCAAATAGAACAAATTAATTTCAATTCTTTTGTGTTGTTTTAGTCCTTAATAAGGAATTTCTAAGAGAAAGCTAACTTGTAATATTATAAGACATATTTAGTAATGAATAGTTTTGGAAAAATCAAATTGATCAATTTAAGCTCATAAAAAAGTCCCAAAATTTGATACTATGTTAAGTGTCTCTGTGGTACCATCGATTGTAACAAAATTAGTGAACTCGCTGACTTGTTAACACTTAATTTCACTTTTGAATCACTAAACATTCTCAAATCAATATTTTTTCAAAGATTTTGGATGCTACTTACCTACCATACAATATTTTCGTTTCACTGAAATTTTGATTATTTTTATATAATTAATGAAAATATTGTAATTAAATATTATGTTATTGTAATGTATTATTAATATTTTAATTGAATTTAAATTATATGTGATCAGTTTAGAAAAAAATAAGATACATGTGTTTGATATATATGATATATAAATAATGAATAATAGATGAAAAAGAAAGAAGTATGAGATGTGTGAACGATGTATATATTCTATTTTAATTTAAATTCTCTTTGATTTGATTTGCATTATTTGAAACGGGAGTGAAGTGATTTGCAATGATTTTTTTTTGTTTAAAGTATTCTGTTTTTGAAATCTTTCTTCGAAGGAATAATATATTACATAGAGTATGTCTATATAATTTGTATGTTTAATATAAATTATGAAATGTTTTTATTAATAGAGAAATTTTACTAATTCAGATTGTTACAGAATATGCCTTGTTATACCTAGTGGTCTAAAATTCAGTGTTTTAATAAGTATCGGTGTGAGTATAACACTTTCGTGTGTAAAGAAAAGCTTCCTCGAGAAAATAAGTACAATAGTTTTACATTTCTTTTATATATATATATATATATATATATATATATATAATTTAAAC